ATAATGTGACCGGAATAAGAATCAGGGCTTGTCTTTGAATCAGAGCGAGGTCCCTGATGGTGTTTACTTCATGTCCTGGCACCAAATGTGAGATGACATGAATATATTACCTTACTGGCTTTCCTGAGCAATCCCTGCCAAGCTCAGATCAGCTTCAGGAAGGAAAAGAACAGCAAAGAGAATCTGTTTGGAAGTGTCAACTTGTTTCCCTGTCATCCTCAGTTACCACTGAAGGGTCTGGCTGTGACAGGGGCCACACTCCTGCGGGGAGAGCTGGGCACAGGGGGTGAAGGGGAAGGTGGTGACACTAGAGGCTGTTCAGGGTCTGAGGAAGTTTAGCAGCTGGCTGATGCCTTGTCCATGAAGCCCTGTGGTGCTGGATCTGTCATCCGCTTCCTGAGTGTCTCTTGCTCCATCTCTCCCAGTTGCATCACAAGGTTTCAGTTTCCTCAAATCCCAGTGTGGGACTGTGGGTTTTTGCAACATTCCCAGACGAGGAACAGGTTGGTCTGGGTTTGAAGTGTTCTCCAGAACTGCCTTGGCAGCTTCTCTCCATGCCCTGCCCTGCCTATGAGCACCGAGCAGCATTCAGCCCCACTCCCAAGGCTCCTCTGCTTCCTATTCCCCTGGATGTTGTAATCCTTGGGGATTTTTAGATTGTGTGGGTTGGTAGGGATTTTTTGGGGAAGGAGGTGGAAAGCTGACATAAGGATTACGGTCATGGGGAGGTTTTGCTGTCCCCATTGCACCCACTACCTCTCCTCTGTCTGCTGCTGCCAAGAGTCTCCATCCCATGCTCCCTTTCCAGGCATCACCCCAGTGCTGCTGCTGTGCCAGTCCCCAGGCCAGCATCCCCAGCATCCCACACCATCCTCCTCCAACATGTGGGGGTGGTGAGCTGCAGGTCAGAGTGGCTGCAGGGGTTGAGGTCTCCTCTGGGAGCTGGGGGCTGGGCTCAGGGCAGGGACCCACTGGGGGGTTTCCATCAGTGACACCTCGGTCTCTGCATAAGTTGCATTGTTGGACTTGGACCCCAGAGCAGACAAACCCTATTTCCATGTTAGAAGGACAGTCTGGGCTGGTTTGGTTTAAGCATATTCCCCACAGCTCTGGCAGTGCTGCCTGCAGTCTGGATTCCATCAGCAGAGGAATGTCTGCTCCCAGCTTTGCCCTGCACCAGCAGCTTGGGTATCATTTCCCAGGGCTGCCTGGGGCTGGGAGGGGACAGCAGCTCCCTACATCATCACTTCCCTGTCTCAGCTCTTCCCAGCTGAGTTGAGGACATAGAACTGGGGGAATCCCAATTTCTCGACACCGCCGATCTTTACAAGTAAACTGGTGACCAAGCGTTCCAGCAACGTGGACAAAGACTGCCTGATTAAACTGGGATCCCATGTGGGCTCCCCATGGGATGGGGATTCAGACAGCAGTGCAACCCCAGCTGGACCTGGGGGGTCCTGCTGGCTGTAGCCCCTTTTAACCCCCTGCTTAGGGGGCATGTTGTGCTCCAGCCTGATCCCACAGTGGCTCGCAGACCACCGGCACTGCCGGCACAGCGCTGGAGCATTAGGATTGCACACAGGTCTCATGGGATCAGAGGAGCTGGGGGAAGGAAACCTGCAATAAGCACAGAGTATTTGTACAGGCTTTAGGCTAAATCCTTCCCTCCCTGGGTAGCAACACTGCAAAGCTGTTTCCTAAGGTCTTGTTATTCCTTTTCAGGCCAGGACTTTGCAGTCGGCAGCAGGGCTGGATTAGGAAGAGGGAGAGAGAGGCATGGCACGCTGAGGGCATTGCTGGGTGAGCCAGGCTGGCAAACAGGGGCTTTGCTTCAGCAAAGTTCAGGGTGACAAGTCCAGTGTCACCACGTCAGGTACCAAAGCAGCCCAGAGTGCCTCTGGGAGGAGGATGACGGTGCAACACCCAACGTGGCATGTACCACACTCTTGCCTTCAGCCTTATTTCACTTAAAATCCCAGAACTGCTCCTGTTCTGGCCTGGAGAAGGGATCCTTGCTGAATCCCTGCAATAAGGGCTTGGGGCAGCTCCTGCAGCTCTTTCCCGAAGCGCTCCCTGAGGGAGTTCACAGGGTGTCTTCCCAGGGCCACCCCAACTAATGGTGAGTGTCCAAAGGTCCCAGGGAGCTGACATTGCAGGGGACACAAGAAGTCACCCACTTTTCTCCAGGAACCAAATCTTGAGGCTGAACCCAGGCATGAGAGAAGGTGGGCTCAGCCCCGAGGGTCTGGATTTCAGGTGTTTGCCTTCACCCCAGAGACAGTGGAGGAGTCAAGGGTGGGGATCTGCCATCATCCACATCCCACACGCTGTGGAGCTGAAGTCTTGGGATTTTTTGCCTTCACCTCCCACTCGAGGATCGGGAGCCAAGTACATTTCTCATTGCACCCAGCACACGGGAGGAGGAGAGGCAATGTGGGAGGGCACAGGGGGAGTGGGAGAAGCCGTGGGCAGGCAGGTACAGACCCCGCAGGAACATGATACACCACAAGCAGAGGCTTGGAGGGCCTGGAAATCCATCCCCACCCTCTGCAGCCAGGGTGGAGGATGGCTTTGATCTCTCCCTGTTGTGCAGAAGCTCTGGGAGATGCAGACTCAGGCTCAGGAGGGACAGGGCACCACAGTGTCACCTTATCGTGGGGACAGGTCCATATGAGTTGGAGGTGGAAAGCAGGAGGGCTGCAATGCTCAACTGGTGAGGCAAGAGGGATCAGGGTGTTGAAATGAATTGGGATCTGAGAGAGATGGAGAGATTTCTTCAATACGGAGCACCCAGGCTGACCCAGCCTCCCTGCTGGCCATGGGGACCAGGTTCTCTGTCCCCCACCCTGAACCCCATGGCCCCAGGCTTCCCTGCCTTGGCAGCAGACACTGTGCTGAGATCCCTTCTGGGACAGCAGGCTGCAGTGGTATCAAGGCAGCATCTTTCTCCTTCTGGAGCAAGTCACCTCCTAACCCCAAGCCCTTGAGATCAACACTCACGGGAAACCATGGAAACGGGCAGCAGGCACGTGACAGAGTGTGCCTGCACTCCTCCCCTGATTTATGTCCCACGTCTGGGACAAGACACAGAAGTGAAGGGCTGCTGGGATCGTTTGGGATTTTGAGGCAGCAGAGCATCACCACCACTTTACTCTCCCTCTCCTCTTTGCAGAGCAGGATGGCACATGGGAACAGGGCTGGGCTCCTGCCAGGGCCAGAAGTGATGACCCCAGAGAGGGAGGCAGAAATCTGGAAGAGGCTAGGGGACTTCTCACTTACTTTTCTAATTTTTCTAATATTTTAATATTTCTAAATGGAGACTCTTGAGCAGAGACCCTTCAACTCCTGGTGCCAGGGAGCAAAGCAATGCACCCACTGTGCCCAGGCTCACCATGGAACCAGGTGCCAGTGTGGATGAGGACACCAGGTACAAAAGCTTCAAAGAGTCCTTTTCTTTAAACACACAGTGAGAAGCAGTGCTCCACTTAGATTATTGCCCCACTGTTCATATTGGTCAGAATTTGGTCGTTTCCCCTTTTTGAAAGTGCTTGCCCTGCATTGCTGTTTTGCTCTGGTTTTAAGCTGGGTCTCTCTGTGTTTAAGGTAAGTCTAAAGCACTTCTTCCCCTGCACTTCAAGGGCAGGCAGTAAGCTTGGCCATGCCATCCTTGGACCAGAGGGGTTTCTCTGCTGCATGGTGACCACCTGGGGACACTGCAGTTACTGTCTGAGCAGAGGCTCATGGACACTAATCCCAGTGGCCAATGGGCAGAAGGCAAATCCAAAAACTTGGTGAAAATCTGATGATTCAGCAGCTGGTGATGGTGTTATTGAAAAATTCCCGACCTCTGGAGGGTCAGATTGGCCACACTGCTGTGTTGTCACACCGGTGGTTTTGGCAGCTCCCAGCTGAGCTTTGTACTTGAGCCGAGGGATTCACGGGTGCCTGGGGCTCCTGGTCTGTCCCAGCACATATTCATGGGGGGATCCACAGTGGGGGATCTGCGGGCGGCGTGTTCTCCACCAGCTCTCATTAGCTCTGCAAGAGCGAATTTGCTGACACCGCCAGTCTGGCGGCTGCTAACGGGGAGGTGGCCAGGGATGGTTTGGAGGAGAAATACAAGGCAAAAAGCCTCGACAGATCTGCAAGAACAAAGCTCCAGATCCCCAAGGGGCTCAGCCACCCCCCAGCCTGCCTGCTCGGGTGTCAGAGCACACCCGCAGCCCGTCTGTCCGTCCGTCTGCCTGTCTGCCCTGCGAGGGTGCGCAGCGGGTGCGGGAGGCGGCTGCGCTCACCCGCTGCTTCCCTTGTCTCTGATCCCCCTCTGGGGGACTGCCGGTTATTACAAGCCTCCGTAGGATTTTCCTGCTCGCTGTGCAAATGGACTGTGCTGCGGGTTTAATATGCCGGATTGCCAAGGAGCTGGAGATGGCATTTGGGTAAAAACCAGCCCAAAAGCACACCCACGAAGGCGGCGGGAAGCCTGGAGTGGAGGTGTTCCCTGACAAGGCACTGCCAGGAGCAGTGCAATCGCAGAACGACAGTAATACCTTCATTTCACAAGTGTCTTAACTCCAGATCCCTTTCAGTTGGGTCCTGCCGCGAAAAGGGAGAGCAAATTCTCGGCATTGAAAAAGTCCCTATGGGACCGACCACAGTCTCTTTTGGGGGGCAAAGAGATGCTCACAGTGGGAGTGCCTTGTGTTCCCCTCTCGCCCCAAGAATCAGAAGGGAGTGTGGGTCTGTCCTTCCAAACATCACCTCCTTCAAAATCAGAGAGGGCAAAGAGGAGAACCGAGGCAGAACTTGGAGCAGCCAGAGGTTGGGCTAACTTTAACTCAGCACTTTGGATTCTGAATTTCCTCTGAGCTGTTTACAAAGGGCTGGAAAAAAAACTTCCAGCCCTACCTCCCCCCGCCAGCACCGTCCTGATGTTGCCCAGAACATCGCTCTCATCCCTCCCTTTCGTGGAGAAAAAAAAAAAAAAAAGAGAAGGAGGGAGGAGTGGGAGAGAGGAGGAGAGAGGGAGAAAGTGAGCTCACGTTCACACATTGGTGAAGAGGCTGGGCTTGCAATGCCTTTGAATATTTTACTTTTAGGCAGTTCCTCATCAGTCAGCCACACACATCCGAGGCGAGCTGAAGCTTAACTACAGCCATGGACAGCACTGGGAGATCTGAGGTCTGACTGCACGCATCATACCTCCGGGATATTTTTTAAATTACACATATAAACACGCCGACAGGCAGCCGAGCTCTCTCTCTCACACACACACACACACACACACACCTCACACACATCCACACATCGCAGAGCCGCCAGCACCCGCACGGCCGCCGAGCAAACACCTTGTCTCCTCTCGCAGGATATACCCGCTCACACACATCTCTCTTTATCTCCTCCTGGCTTCCCGGAGGATCCTGCCGGCTGTTTTTCATGGAGAAAGTCCAGGGAGAAATGGAGATTGAGAGATGGGAAAGAAGTGAAGAGATCTCAGACGCAGAAAAAAAGGTTATTCAAGAGATATGGAGCAGAGTATATGCAAACTGCGAGGACGTTGGGGTCTCCATACTCATCAGGTATTTAAAAAACAAACCGAAAAAAAGGAAGCAGCAAATCCAACTAAATCTCTTTATAGCTGAGGAAGAGGCAGAACAATATATAGAACTGAGCAGAGATGAATGACAGTGAGTGGGGAGCTGGCTGGGTGTATTCACTGCCTGGGAGAGCAGGGAGGGTTTCACAGCGCTCCTCGGATTCCCACACCTTTGAGCTGGGTGGCGGCGGCGGGGGGAGAGGGGGCAGCCTT